CTCTTGTGTCGGTAGCCTGTGTCAAATTAATAGAGCAAGGCACCTTTTTGATATGAAGACGTTAATTCTTTTAATAAACGCGTTGGTTTTTAGTAAACTCTATTACTGTTCAACCATATGGTCTAATTCATGGAAGAAAAACATTGCAAAATTGCAAAAAGTTCAGAACTTCGCAGAACGTATTGTCACGGGCACAAAAAAATTCGACCATATCACTCCATCTTTAAAACAGCTTAATTAACTGGTTACCAGTCAATTATATGTTGCGATTCCGAGATACAGTAATGGCTTATAAATGTGTTAATGGTATGGCCCCATCATATTTATGTCGTATGTTCCAAACAAGATCACAATTACACAATTTGAACACAAGATCTAGCGAATTATTGGAAATACCTTTATATAGAACAGCGACCGGAGAACGTTCTTTTCGCTACCGAGCTTCTTGTTTATGGAACAGTTTGCCAGAATGGCTAAAAGACCATAATCTTAATTTGGAAAGTTTTAAAAGCGGGCTACTAAGTTATTTGGTTCAACAATTTCTCGATGAACAGAACTGAATTACATCTTTTACTGACTAAATTTTAAATTAAATAGTATTAATAAGTATTTTACCTTAAATATAACTAGCTTGATATTATATATTTTGGTGTTAATAGTATATTATATAGTTTTTAGAATATAATTTAATTAAGTACTTACTTTTTATAACTTCTGTATTGAACACTGAAAAATCCTTCTGGGAGTGTTTAACATTAATAATAATAATAATAATAACAACACTGTGTGTGCACAACAGGAAAACTTTCAAATTGTGCTCCTCAGTGTTCGATGTTGCATCAACAAATACATGCTCGCCAGTTTGTTTTATGTGCTTGTTGACTCGTTTCGTCAAGGGTATTACTATGGCAACAAGTAGTGGAATATTCTTACCCCCAAAAAGTTGGTAATCTACGCTTGCATGCCTCTGGGTTGCAAGCCTTATATTGTTCCACGGTTTCAACAAGTTTGTGAAACATCCCATCATGCTTTCCACCAAAAGTTTCTTTCTCAAACTGCTCATAAATATAACGAAAGTCCCTTCTTCGTGGTGTTGTTGACCGATCAGCTTTCTTTACATGAAATTCCATGTCATTTTTACAAATGACTCGGAGGTCTTTAAGATACTGTTGCCTTGCTGTCAAAGGAGTGTGACCAGCTTCATACAATTTCGTTATCTTTTCAATCACTTCCGTGCACAAGTACTTAAAGTTAGATGCTTCAAGATTATCAGTTGAGTGGTTGTGCTCCCAGGCCAGGTCGATGCTGCAGACATTACAGGAATCTACTTTGATGACAAGTTGAAATGGACAATTAGTATTCTTCACCCCTGCTGTTGGATCAACCTTCAATCGTCGCTGGGGGTCTTTCGTTGGGCTGCAAACCCTAGTGATATGTTGACATCTATAATAATTTTGGACGAGGTATCCTTCAGTCGATTTCTTCTTTACCTTCACCTTGAGACTAATATCGTTGGTTTCTTGAAATTCCGAAAGCTACCCATCCAAATTCTCAACAGATATGTTTTCAGTCGCGACACTTAAAACTTGAACTGCGATGGACCTAGCATGTGTAGCAGTCGTTTAGTGCGGGCGGATGAAGAGATGGCGTCGTTAAAAAACGCCCGCCCAAATGCCTATGATTAATTTGTTCTTCTCCGAAGAATCTTAGGAAAAGCTACCCATTGGTCAATCTCGTTAACGGAAGTAATTACGCAACTCAAACGTCAACAATAATTTTGCTCGCGTATCGAAAATATGCCGCCTGTTAATGCTTTCGAGGGAACTCTTAGTCTTATATTTCAAGTATTTAGGCTTCGAAATTCAGTTGAAAACAGAATAGAGAAAGTCTATTATTAATTTGCTACGTGGTGAAGACCCCGGTTATCGCGATTCTTCCTACAGTATACGGCAAATCGGCAAATCAAAGCTTGCCCGAGCAGGAATCGAATATTCCTTATAGTTGTCTTGTTATTTGTTCACTTCAAAGTGTAATTCAAGACCAGATAGTTGAGGCTACATCACTTGGCATTGCAGCTATGAGGTTGGATGACGATTTTAAGAATAACATTTCAAAACATGCTCAACTGTTATTTGCAGTTAATTTGCTATACGCAGAATACTTTAAACAACCGTAGTTCAGGAGCCTTTTAAAAGATAAAAGCTCGGTGTTGTCAGGGCCGCCGAGAGCTTGGCGGGGGACCGGGGCAAATGTTTTTAGGGGCCCCTATCTAAAATATTTTTCCGGAAAAAAATTTTTTCGGAGAACAACCTCCCCCCGTCGACAACTTTTTTGGTAAAAAAATTTTCCGGACGACTACGTTACAATTGCTTTCCAGAGACTTTATCTCATTTTTTTGCCAAATTTCGGTACTTAGCCCAAAAACAGATATCTTGTCCTTTCCGCGGAAATATTTAACACACAAAAGATTGGAGCCCAACGAAAAATTTTCAGGGGCCCCCAGCACCTCGGGGCCCGGGGCAATTTCCCCCCCGTCCCCCCCCCCCTGCGGCCCTGGGTGTTGTGACTGTTGTCTAAAATAGCTTCACAAACGAATTAATAATTCATGAGAAAAAAAACACAAAGAAAAATCATAAACGTGTATCTTTATATGTGATAGAGATTTTCCCCTTAATTTACATAAACTTAAATTTTGATTTTCTCTACATACACAACGAATTTTTTGAAAGCTATTTCGCCAATGAACTTATACTAGATCGATCGTTTTTGAAGCAATTTAAAACATTGGCAGTGCATGTTTTATCAGACCATCTTTATATCTGATAAAACACTGCTGCTCATGTTTTAAATAGTACATAAAATCTCTGAAAATCTCCCTAGTTGCCGAGCAAAAAGCATGCATGATGCTAAATATAAATCACGACTATATGATTGGATAATGGGTAGAAGGTGCTAATTACAAAACGTCAATCATCCTTTATTGGGCGAAAACAAATTTGTCATAGCCATTTGGGCAGGCGTTTCCTCTTTTCCCGCCCGTACTAAACGCCTGCTACGCAGGCTATGATTGACCAGACGAAACAAACTCTCGAACGGTGTACTGATAATCTTCGGGTAACTTCTCCAATGATTTTGTTTGATGGTCAAGGTCTATTATACATCCCGAAAACAAACTGTAAGACTCTAGGAGATCGGGCTTTCGCACATGCTGCTCCACAATTATGGAATTCTCTGCCTCTGGATGTCAGGAACTGTGAAAACATTTCTGTGTTTAAGAAACGCTTGAAAACATTTCTTTTTAATAAGGTTTATAACCCTTTATAGGTTGAGACCATATTGGATTCTATCACTCTTATTATTGATACATACATTAGTGTATATTCTAATTGTATACAATACCATGTTTTATATAGCATATTTAACTCTTAATATATTTAGATTTTTATAATGTACAGCGCTTCGAGTATATAATATAACATATGCGCTTTATTTAAATGAATAAATTATTATTATTATTATTATTATTTCTTCTTTCTGTTGTAGTGACAAATCGTTCCAAAAAGAACGGCAGTTGATTTCCTTAATAGCTGAGCCAAAGAGATCATCGAAATCTTTCACATTGAGATTCATGTCATCCGCCATTTTGGACAAGACAACAGGTGTAGTATTGCACACGCGCGACAATTCTGGCACATGTATAACCAGCGACCAGGCCCCGCGTGGCGGTAATTACGCGAGGCGTGAAATATCAAGTTTCATGATGACAGCGACCCTTACTGGTGACAATGACCGTTTACGAAACGGCAAATTGAGTCGGCGGCAGTTATACCAATAATAGAAATCAAATCAATTGAACAACACTTTACAATGAACTTTCAATGCATTCCAAGCACACCGGCTGATTAACACAACTAGGGATCCAAGGATAGTGTGAAGTTTCAAATTGAAAAAGACACTGCAAGAACTATATAGGGTCGCCGACAACCTAGAAAAGCTGATGGCGTACACTACGAAATAAACGGTTACCAAAGGCATTTCATCTCATTATCTATTGTTTTTAATGCGTTCGCCACATGAGTAGCGAGACGTTTGAAACAAGCCTAGCACATCAAAAACGTCGCGCCTCGTGGAACTGATACAATTTATTTATTTATTTATTGTGATGCTACACGCGACAACTCGAAATTTAAATTTTTTCACCAACAACCAAATTTTGCATATTCTAAAACTACATTTGCTTTGGGAGCTGTCGCTAAAAGCATCCCCACGAGGCTACTGATATGCTAAACATATTTAAAACTATGACTATTCCCATGATCCTTTTAGCACCCATATTACACATTTGACTATTGTCTCAGTGGCAACTTTAATTGAAATAGCTCATGTATAAGATTTAAAGATATGTTATGAAAAATAAGCACTACAACGTTGCATCATTAAAAGGACGTATCTTATCCCCATCCGTTCCGTATTTTATCCTCATATCCGTTCCGTGGATCCGCTCCATCCGCTTCCACATTTTAACCAATTGTGACATGTTTCGGCTAGTTCCTCGGGTAGAGGAGAACTGATCACCTGATCGGCTAGTTGTGTTGATTGTGGCGTCAGATATAACCCTACCCCTATCTCTAAGCCTAATCCTTAATCTAACCCTTACCCTAACCCTTACCATAACCCTAACCCCAACACTAATCACTACAGGGTGTATCAAAAAAAACTGAACAGATTTGAAATTGCTCTCAATTTTGCAAAATACCTATTTGTGTCTGGTTTTTTATATATATAGCTTCTTTGAGTACTTATAATGTAAAATATTGAAAAAAAATTCTTGATCTCAAATTTTGTGAACCAGGGGGGGGGGGTGTCTTTTCCAACAAACTAAAAATGGCTCGCGCACAAAATTTAAAAGCTGTAATCATATTTTGAGTTAATAGATGGAACATTTGTCGGGTTTTTAATTACTGTACAAAATTTCAGACAATTTGGTTTAGTTTAAGCCCTTTAACTATTCATTTTGTTCTAAAAAGTCAGCCTTTCGCATGCTTAATTAATGCCCTTACCTAATTTGCATATTGCTGACATATGCAAATTAGGCAAATGCATTAATTAAGCATGCAAATAGCTGATTTTTCGGGAAAATTGTAACTTTGCGTGAATAGTTAAGGGGCTTAAACTAAACCAAATTGTCTGAAATTTTGTACAGTAATTAAAATCCCGACAAATTTTTCATCTGTTAACTCAAAATATGATTGCAGCTTTTAAATTTTGCGCGCGAGCCATTTTTAGTTTGTTGGAAAAGACACACCCCCCTGGTTTACAAAATTTAAGTTCGAGAATTTTTTTTCATTATTTTACATTATAAGTACCCAAAGAAGCTATATATATAAAAAACCAGCTACAAATAGCTGTTTTGCGAAATTGAGAGCAATTTTAAATTTGTTCAGTTTTTTTGATACACCCTGTATAACTAACTGATGACGTAATCTGTGATGCAAATTCTTCTACCCGAGGAAGTATTCCCATGTTTCACAATAACAAGCCTCATTGACCTTCGACTTATATTTCCAGTGTCACGTTGTGTCTTTTTGAGCTTTTACGCTCAAGACGAAAATGTGTGAGCAAACATTTTACGCAGAAGAATCCGAGAAACCCGTTCAGTTTAAGTTTAACATTGGCGATTAAGTATACGAATCAGCAAAGCAAGGCGCACATTTAAGAAACGATACCTACCTATCTGGACCGAAGATGTGCTTACGATAACCAAACGTGCTCTTCGACGACCACCAGTGTACAATAATTATGGGAACCACTCAGTATTTTAAGAATGCACAAAATAACAGTAACTCCGAATAACATTTTGATTTTTAATCGACGTTTCGATTCGTTTTTCAGCACATGAAATCCTTTATGGACCTTTCACCTGACATAACTAACCCTATAAACACTAATTTAACTGAACTAATATTTAGAAACTGTAAAATAATTCATAGGTCAGACCACTGGTCTCTGTTTTTATTTAAGGAGTCTATCTTGCTATACGCAGACGAAAAGCTGATGTCATTAACCACGGTGGGAAAGCTTCCAAAGAACTTTTCATCTTTAATTGACATTAAGCTGCGCCTTTCTTGGCTTTATCATAGCTGCATCTGTAATTCTATAGCGTACTTACCAAATAATACTGTACGGTGGCGAATTTTAGAGTAAAATTTGCGGCGAAACCATTGTCTTGCCAGGGCAATGGGAAGTCGCATTGACCGGACTGTATTACCTACATACTTGGAGCACGCTAAGACGTGGAGTGCAACAAACGTCTTTGTACAAAACTGGCAGTAACCCTTATAAAACTGTCGTGCTAAAAGACACACATTATTCTCCTATTGACCAACTAACAAAAACACTCAATGCCGGCATGTTAAAAGAAACACAGACGAAAGTAAAGTTTAAATATAATCGCGGTTGGTTTAACGGAGAATTAGCAACGGTCTTGAGATTTGCCGAGGACACTCTTATTGGAAAGAAAATCTCAAGTCCCTTTGCTGCAGATATCAATGGTGGATTTTTCTGCATGTATGTCTACACTGATATCGTATGTGCGTTATTTCGAACCAGTATGAGATAGACAGTAGATTAAGTTTCTTTAAACGTTTGGTGTAAGATGAGGTGAAGTCTTGAAGGATATACTTGGTCGATCGTCTTTGGACACTTTCTAGACAAAGAAGGTCCCTAGACTTGCCACAACACACGTTTGTAAGCGAGTTGCAATGCATGCTAAAATAACATGGAAGCTGCAAAATGCGTTTGTGGTTAGCGATTATACCCACATTAACTACAATTCTTCAAATATAATAAAAATCGACCATAAACGAACGAGACAAGTTTATGCCTCGTTTCTTGCAGCCATGACTGCATGCTTTGTTGCTTAGTTTGAATACAAAAAGTTAGCAAAACTTACCATATTTGCAGGATTTTCCTTATAGTAACTATTATTGAATTTCTATTCAATAATTTCGCAAGTTCATTATTTAATTGTAAATTTTCTGTGTTCTTGAAACAATTCATTTATACTTGGTCGGTCGTCTTTGGACACTTTCTAGACAAAGAAGGTCCCTAGACTTCCTACACATTTAAAAACAAACGTTTGTAAAGGAGTTGCAATGCATGCTAAAATAACATAGAAGCTGCAAAATGCGTTTGTGGTTAGCGATTACCACACTAACTACAATTCTTCAAATATATAGGGAACTTGAATGTATGACCAATTTTGCAAACCATGCAAGTGCAACGGATCATATAGTTAGAGCTATAATATTTTGAGCTCAAAATAATCCCAATCTCATTCTCACATGTCGATTAACCGTGCGACAAATGAAGCAAAAAGCTTTGTCCGTCTTCTTCGAATATTCAATTCAGCTAAACCTTTCATGCCATGCTGTCAGGAATCTTCTACCATTCTTGTCTTTTGGAAAGTCTGCATCTTTAGGTTGACAAGAACCCTTTTCAATGTACAATGACATGATTTCTTGCTGCTTGATCGGAGGGCATAGGTGACGATGGATCGTAGTCACAATCGCTGAGATCAAATGACTGCGTTGGTGCTTTCGCCACACGTCAGTCTTCGAATTACAATATCAATTATAAATTATTCAATAGGGCATGATCAACGACAACACGAAGTCGCCGCCATGTTCTTTTTTTCTCACAGGGCGCCCAAAATCTATGATTGTTAAAGATCGGCAAATCAAGCGTGATTTACACTAGAGTTTTTGGTGATAATGCAAATTTTACTTTGTCGTATTTCGTTTCGGCAAGTCAAGGGAAATACTTATATATGTCACTTACATGACGCATAATTGTCCTTTCCTATTATTATATTTTCCTAATTGAATAAATGAAGACAACAATCTGGAAAACATTGGGGGGAACCCCCCTTTCCCATCCCCTTGCCGGCGCATGCACTGTAAATTAAACTGTACATGCAGGCGGCGTTTGTTGAAGAGCTGCACGTGGATAGTACCGAAATTACATTAATCAAAGCATTTAGGAAATAAAAAACATGTCACCTTTCATTGTCCTATTTGGTGACAGAATCTCTGGTGAATAATGTGTGCTGCTCCTTTTAGTTCAAAATGAGTTTAGTAGGTTATTAATACTTATTTACCTCCACAATGTGTGCCATTTCCAGAGAAACCATCATTGCATTTACATGAGCAGTTAAAACCTAGAATTCATGTCACAGTATGTACCAACACAACACTCATCGACGTCTACAAAAATTACAATACATCAAAACACTGATCATCCAACGGGTCGATGACCACTTGATAATTGACAGTCATATTTTATTTTGGAATGTGTCCATGGAGGCTGTTACCCGAAGCACGTTAATTGCACAACGTTTATGGCTGGTTAAATGCCCTTTTAAGTTTATCAGAGATAAAGCCTGGTTCGTAATAACAATCCGAGATTTTGCACCTCCTGGAAAACGTGACCGAATGAATAATTTTTGCGTCCAACTCTATACTTTATGTACGAATTTGCATCCGTCAGAAACACAAAATCGCCGACAAAATTGTGAACCAGGCTTTATGTATAAAAAAACCCTGAAAAGATATATTTTCATCTCGTTCGATGTTGATAAGCCACTTTCGTCTCTGTTTGCAGTCCGATGGAAATTTATGATACGATATTTTCCTTTTAGTTGATGAGTTTTTTTAGCATTTTCCTCCAGATTTGCTGCATGGCACTGCAAATGCACGATATTTTTTACTATTCATTTTAATAAAACACAAAATTTAAACATTAAAATACGTAAACACGGAAATAAAAATAAACGAACGAGATAAGTTGTTGTCTTCGTTTCTTGCAGCCATGACTGCATGCTTTGTTGTTCAGTCATATTTACAACATCCAAGCGGGACATATCTTCTAAATTTTATCATAAACTGCATTGAAAACATTTTGTCTAAAGCCCGCCGCACACGAGCGCACTTGTCGCGCGTACTTGTTACTCGTGACAAGTTGGATCGACAAAATTTTCACGTGTGCGGGCAACATTTACGGCATTTTCGTCATTCGTTACATGTAAACCAAATATCAAACATGTTTGGTATTTTTCGTCATTCGTGACAAAAAAATTCTCGTGTGCGGCGAGCAAACGACAAGCGCGCCTGAATAGGAAAATTTGCGCATGCGTGCACTTGCAGAATTAAAAACAATATGGCGGATCAAAATCACGAGCTCGTATCTTGTTTTTAATTCTGCAAGTTGCACGCATGCGCAAATTTGCCTATTCAGGCGCGCTTGTCGTTTGCTTGCCGCACACGAGAATTTTTTTGTCACGAATGACGAAAAATATCAAACATGTTTGATATTTGGTTTACATGTCACGAATGACAAAAATGCCGTAAATGTTGCCCGCACACCAGGAAATTTTGTCGATCCAACTTGTCACGAATAACAAGTACGCACGACAAGTGCGCTCGTGTGCGGCGGGCTTTACACACTAATAAAGTTTGGATAAATAAAGGTAAACTTACCATATTTGCAGGATTTTCCTTATAGTAACTATTATTGAATTTCTATTCAATAATTTCGAAAATTCTGTATTTTATAATTGTAAAATTTTCTGCGTTCTTGAAACAATTCACTTATAAGATATTTGGATACTCCCATGTTGTTAATATTCATTTGAGACTTTGTAACACTTGCATTACAAGGTAATCTGAATTCCAGACACCCCTATATCAGGATGCGAGGTATGCGGGTGTCTGACATTCAGACACCAGTATATTTTGTTTCCAGATATATGGGTGTCTGAATTTTAGACACCCCTATATTTTGTATCCAGGTATAAGTGTCTGAATTCCAGACACTTGGCCGTATTCTGTGGCCGATTATCGTTCAGTTCCGCTGCCCACATTCGGGATCTACTTTTAGTTTATATGAATCTATAGATTTTGATACGCTGAGTACGAATTCACTTGTTGTCACTCGCACAGACCCGCAGTTTGTTTTGTATTTAATTTTAAGATAAAACATCAACATTTATTAAAATTTCCGCGATTTTGTTCAGGAAACTTCATGTTATATACAGTCATTGTACTAGTCCAAGTTTCTTAGCAGGGGGGTTGCACGCGGTATTACGCAGTTTGTTATCATACTTCTGAGAAAAATATACAGAAATAAAAATAAAAATATAGATATTTTTCCACAATATAAATGCAAAAGGTACTGCTACATGTTTGTAAATACTTAGGAATTAATCTATTATTCTTTATTGCATCAACTTTTGGGTTTTTGGCTCATCATGATGTGAAATTGCAAAGACCGTCACTATATGATCTATATCCAGAATGACTCTCACTTGTCATTGGTAAAGTTGTTTATTTTATAAATTATGTACAAAATTTTGGCCTTGCAATGTGAATAGGCAATTTTTCAATGATATTTTTGTCAACAATGAATAAGGAGCACAATATATTTCAGGCTTTCTTGCCATCCTACTTTTCCTACTTTTTCCTACTTTTCTTCAACTTTCCTATACTTTTCCTATTTTTTTTATCAAAAATATATTGCTTGATTTTCCTACTTTTTCCTACTTTTTCTCATATAATCCTACTTTTTTAAAACAACTTGGGGAATCAGTATGTTATAGTTCTCGTAATTAGATCTATAGGACTCGTAATTTTTATTCCCTATTTGTCTCCTAGATTATAAGATCTCAGGAAGAGAAGAAGTATATTTTCCGAGTATAAAATTCCATAGCATCTCTAGAATCATAATCAATAAATTAATTAATGAAGACTCTGAAAGTGCCATTTCCAATGATCTAGAGATTCCAAATATTCAACACCCCCCGGCCCTCAAGCATCATATGCTCCTGCCGCACAGTGTGGATTGGTGTATGGTGCAGCCAAATACATGTACTCACACGCATAATGCATTTGAATTATGTTTGCCAGATGCCTTAGCTTTTAAAGCGATGCAATTTAAAAGTTTTGAGAAAAAATCCTGCATAGATGAATGAGTACAAAAAAATATTGAGCACCAAAACTTCACACAACTTCCCCATCAGATATCCAATGGTCCATCGCTTACAACATATATCCTAGGGGGCCAATTTTGCACATTTTTGTGTAATTTGCATCTCCAAAAACTCCTACTTTTGTCCTACTTTTCTAGACATTTTCCTACTTTATTCCTACTTTTCCTAAAATTCTAGTCCTACTTTTGTCCTACTTTTCTACACAAGGATGGCAGAAAGCCTGTTAATGTTTGTTTAATAAATGTTAGACCTATTTGTAGACCATTGCCCATTAATTTATAGTAGCAGTTGACCTCAATAGAATCAACTCATCTATTTAATAAATCTGCACATAATTAGTTCCATTTTCTTGTATTATAATAACATTTTTGCTATCATGGGACGTTGAGCTTTATAAATAAAAATTTTGCAAGATGCCTTTCACTCTATGACAGACAGCCTACTTTTGGTCTGTTTATATGGGGTTAACCCAACCTAGATTAGCTGTATTTCTTTAATTATTTTATTGTTATTTAAGTATTTACATTAGCAAATGGTGGCCGTACAGGAATAGCCCCAATTATTACAGCTACCATATAACAACCTAACTTGGTTATTCCAACTTATGTGAGACTGTTGACGCAAGCATGGGCTTGCTGGAACAAAGCAGCTAAGCAAAAAACTATATTCACACAAGCAAATCTCAACGTCATGCCATCTAGAAACATTAATTGATCGAGCCATTTGAGGTTTAAATGTGTAAAAATATATTAAATACAACATATTGTCATGATCCATCATCACCTTAAGCTCTAATCCTATTTGAGCTGCCATTAATTACCAACTGAACTACTAGAGATTCAGGGATATTTTATATTTGACCAGGCAGACAATAGAAATTTAAAGTAATCTAGCTGGCATCACTACCTACCAATATGCCTTAGTTATATAAACCTTCTTTCCTTTTGGGCTGGCCTGCCTGGGCAAGACTCTTTTCCAAGCCTTAGATCTTGGATATAACAGCTGGGCATTAAATAATTAATACATAATTCACATCAATCTATTGATATAAATAACATTTCTTTATTTTCTTAGGGGGTGTTTATATGGAGGAGAGCCAGCCCAGATACCTGAGCTAGCTTGCTTTGCCGAGATCTAACATCGCTATGTAATTTATACTAACATTTATCTTGTGTTTAAATGGGAACCGAGCTGGCCTGCCTAGGTGAGATCTTGAAAAATAAAAATATATTTACTTATATTATACTATTTATAGCGGTAAGACCAATCATTTGTTTTGGCAAGACAGCCCATGCACCTCAAAAGTCTCATGTAAACATGGGATAAAATCAGCTCAGCAAAGAGAGCTAGCTCGGGTACCTGTATGGGCTGGCTCGAGCATCTCTATATAAACACCTCATTAGAAGATTTCAACGTTAAAATTTCTTTTGGAACCTCTCTGAGGGATAAAACCTTCAAAACTTTATTGTTGACAAAAATTTCATGTAGACAGTATCCAGGAATTTGAAAATTGCCTTTTCATATTGTAAGGCCAAAATTATGTACATAATTTCAGTAATAAATAAAATAAACAACTTTACCAATGACAAGTGAGAGTCTTTCTGGATATAGATCATATAGTGACAGTCTTTGCAATTTCACATCATGATGAGCCAAAAAAAACAAAAGTTGATGCAATAAAGAATAATAGATTAATTTCTAAGTATTTACAAACATGGAGCAGTACCTTTTGCATTTATATTGTGGAAAAATATCTATATTTTTATTTTTATTTCTGTATATTTTTCTCAGAAGAATGATAACAAACTGCGTAATACCGCGTGCAACCCCTCTGCTACGAGACTTGGCCAGTACAATAACGGTATATAACATGAAGTTTCCTGAACAAAATGGCGGAAATTTTAATAAAAAAATGTTGATATTTGATCGTAAAATACAAGAAAACTGCGGGTCTGTGCGAGTGACAACAAGTGAATTCGTACTCAGCGTATCAAAATCTATAGATTCATGTAAACTAAAAGTAGATCCCGAATGGGGGCAACGAAACTTGTTTTCTAAGCGAATTTTGGGGTTACAGAATACGGCCTACACCCCCTATATTTTGTATTCAGATATAGGTGTCTGAATTCTAGACACCTATATATTGTGTATCCAGATATAGGTGTCTGAATTTCAGACATCCCTAATTTTGTATCCAGATATAGGGATGTCTGAATTTCATACACCCCTATATCTGGATGCAATATATACGGATACCAGATTTTCAGACACCTCTATATTTTCTATCCAGATATAGTTATGTCTGAAATTCAGACACCCCTAGATTTTGTAACCAGATATATGTGTCTGAATTTCAGACACGCCTACAGTTTGTATCCAGATATAGATATCTGAATTTCAGACACCCCTAAAATTTTGCATCCAGATATAGGTATCTGAATTTCAGACACCCCTAAAATTTTGCATCCAGATAGGGGGATGTCTGAATTTAAGACACCCCTATATCCGGATGCCATATATACGAGTGTCTGAATTTCAGACACCCCTATATTTTGTATCCAGATATAGTTGTCTGAATTTCAGACACCCCTAAATTTTGTATCCAGGTATAGGAATGTCTGAATTTCAGACGCCCCTATATCTGGATGCAATATATACGAGTGTCTGAATTTCAGACACCCCTATATTTTGTATGCAGATATACGTGTCTGAATTTCAGACACACTTATATTTTGTATCCAGATATAGTTGTCTGAATTTCAGACACCCCTAAATTTTGTATCCAGATATAGGAATGTCTGAATTTCAGACACCCTTATATTTGTACTGATGCATGCAGACTCTGTGATGCAGATATACATGTCTGAATTTCAGACACACTAACATTTTGTATACAGACATAGGAGTGTCTGAATTTCAGACACCCTATGTCTGGATGCAAGATATACGGCCGTCTGAATTACAGACACCCCTAAATTTGGTATCCAGATATAGGAATGTTTGAATTTCAGACACCCCTATACTTTGTATCCCGATATAGGGTGTCTGAATTTCAGACACCCCTATATCTTGATGCAATATGTACCGACGGGTCCCTGAATTTCAGACACCAATTTAACTACACTGTTGGCGAATTTACTGCATTGTGGAAGCTTGACTTGTTAGAAAAATTATCTTTGTGCATTTGGTCAAATCAGGTCTGCCAAAAACAGCAAATTTCTTTTTTAAAAAATCATCAGTCCGCGGCTTTTTTTAAATTCATTAAACTGTGCGGAAAATCACGAGTTTGGAATTGTTAAAACGTATAAACACATCAAATTTCCGATGTTTCGATTGTATAACATAACCACAACTAGGTATTGTCATCCAGAATTCATTCACGACTTGTTTTTATCCGTATCATATCTTTGGTTTCATGACACTATATGTCGGGATGCGTTTTGTTCTATTTGCCATTTAGTTTAAACAATAACGATCAATCTCATCACACATGTGATATCGGATATCTTATTGCATTGCATCTCATATACATACCTGTGCAATTATGCGGAGTTCCTTCATAACCAGTAGCACATTGACATGAATATGTTCCTACTTCATTAGTACAAGTTGTCATTGTACCACAGTCTTGAATATGAATGCTCGATGCAGGATTACATTCATCATAATCTATTTGGGACAATTATAACATTGCATTTTTCTGTTTATACAACACAATAAATTACCATCTTTCCTGGAAAGTTCGCCGTTCGTCCACTCTTGCCGCGGAAACAAACTTATCTTCCCACCATGCAAAAGTTTTGCTCAACAAAATATATACGAAGTCATATTAACCGCAGTAACAAACTGTTCCTAATTTGGAATGCAACTTCGTAAGCATTTAATCTGAAATAATTTTGCATCTATTTACTATAATATTTAATTTTAATTATTTCAAACGAATATTTTCCACGCAGAAGCCCAATGTTGTACCCGGCAGAATTACATGTGAAACATTCAATAAGTATAAGGTATTGGTACATTAATAATGATGTACAATATTGTATATTGATTTTTCTGTGTTGGTGTAACGTACTGATAACTGAGTTATCTGCAAATGCGCTTGCGAGGCGGATAACTGAGTTATCTGCAAATGAGCCTGCGATGATGAGCAAGCGGTATCATTAGCAAGCGGTAAAAATATGCCACCGTGGACAGGCATAGTTTTCAAGCTTGCCCGGTGTGGATATACACTCAGAGTAACATCACATGCATGTGGTATAGTCTTACAATAACTGAATATAAAAAAATGAGGTAAAATTTATGTTTCACATCGCCTTATTGCTACTACTCTTAAGGCAATCGCTTACCTCAGCGTGCTGTTTCATAATATGCATCTCAGACTAATCAGAAATTCATAAGCAAAACAGGAGGGAAACCTGCACGATATCGCTGTCTTGAAACTATGGTAATAAACGCCCATGCATAAATAAGCTCATTTTTCGCTTTGAACTACAATTCCATTTGAGAAGAAATGTAAAAAACTCGAAAGCGGTTTATTATCGGGGTATAAAACGATTTGAAATAGGGGAAACTTTGCTAGCGCCATGTTTTTTTACACACTTTTTAGTATATCATACGCTTTTAGGACAAGCGGTTCTCCCCCACGAGATGACAGGATTGACTTACCTTGATATGTTAAGGCAGTCTGCCTGGTTCCTTGCAGTTGATATTGCCCAAGGAAGGTTCCAGCACCGTTCACCAAAAGCGCTTCTTGTATGGCCGCTTGGATAGTTGAAGCAGTTTCGTTGGTTGCAGCTGGATCAAATGTAGCCACGTATGTAACAACTATTGATCCTTCCCTGTACGAAAAAGCAACGTTCTGGAAATTGTATTGTTACTGTATACAAAATTTTGTACTCATTGGGTGTACAAGCTGTCAGAAAGTTTATTTTGCAATTGAATTTTAAGTTATCCTAGGGTTAAGCTAACCCATGCAGCTTTGAACAACCGACCCCTGGAGATATATCTTATAGATAGATATATAATTATTTTGGGCATAACAAAGAAATATAATCCCAAGTAAACCCTGTCAATAACAGCGCATGAACTTACCTAAAACCTGACACTTGACATCCTCTGTATCGACGTGAAAGCCTGCTTCTCCCAAAAGCCGCGTTAATCTAGACAGTGGCAATAGTGGAAAATAAAATTTGCAAGTTTCTGTGTATTATGCCCTATACCTGAAAATTAAGAACAAACTTTGGCGTTCTGAACGAAAGCCCTTCATGCAAAAGTTCAGATGTAGATTAACAACCTTGGCAGGAAACGTCGACGTTTGTTCTTATTTTTCAGCTGGGCGTTGCATCGAGATTATGCGATATTCCCAAATGTTACGTATTTCTTCCATCAATTGCTCAATTTTTCAATAGAATTGTTCGATTTTTAAGTATAACATGTCCGACTTATGATCGAAATGCTCAAGAAATGCTAAAGAGGATGTGCAACGCTAATAAATGCCAGTGGTAGAAAATTAAGTACTATTTAGAACACGAGCAGGAATGCTTTAGGGGCGGACCATTAGAAAATGGGGGAGGGGGGAGGGGTGGCAATTTTTTCGGGCAGGATATTTTTTTTTGCAACAACGTTGTGCAAGATTTTTTTTTTCAGCCATGCTTGTATTGCACGATTTTTTTTTAAAGGAATGTGAACTATAATTTATTAATATAATACAGCCCTATTTAGATTACCATAATATATATTGTTTACTGAATATATAATTACATTACATACACACAATACGAGATATAGACGTTTATTAAACTGATAAATACAGACAATGTGATAGAAGAAACCCTTCCGGAGTGGCTGGCTGGCCTTGGCATCTGGCAAGATAGTTTC